CTTCAGCAACAGCATATTTTAAACCTACCTGAAAGTATAGGTGGAAGAGAAATGTCTTTGCGTAAAGGCAAAGTTGAAATATGGTTAGTTTGGCTCTTGCCCCATATAATCTTCTTGAGGAATCCTTATGAAGAGCTCTTTTTAAGCACAAATTAATGACTTCTGAAAATATTTAAAAATATCTCTATATATCTATATCTACTTTAGCTTGGAAAATATCAGTCTTCCTCTTTAACATTTTAAAAGTGCATGGAACAATGCAGTTTTCTCTGAATCCTTTTTTTAAAAAGAGATTTCATGGACCAATGTTTGAGTAAAGTACGTCGCAAGTTTGCAGACATCAGCAAGTGGATTTTACTCTATATAAGTACTTTATGTAAATGCAATAACAGTTTAGAGACTTTTTAAAAATAAAATAAATGGTGGTTATTAAGTGGCAATTCAGCATGTTTTTTTTCAGAGGGATCATGTAGTCTACTGTACTTTCATGTGTATAATGTAATGGCTACACAGCTTTCTTCCATCATTCCTCTCACTTAGTCCAGACAAAGAGCATAGCTCCTGACAGGAGAAGATGTAGCATTATTTATACCACCTGTTTATTTTGGTACAGCAGGCTGGGGGAACCAGAATGTTCGTTACATAATTTTCAAGAGTGCAACTTGAACCAAACTCAAACCAACTCAACGTACAAAGTCCTACACTTGAAATCTCTTCAAGTAAAACATTTTCTAATTATCTATTTAAAATATAGCTTTAACATTCATAGCAGACTTAGCATGGAATGGCATTTCACTTCTTCAGTCAACTGCACTCATGATTTTACACTTTCTGTTGTAATCAACACAAAATCTTAATATTTACTTGTTATCTGTCCAAGTAAGCCTGTATTTTATTATTCTGCCTCTCATTTGTAAAGCCTTGCAGGTCTTTTCCCTAGCTATGTTGTTGCACTTTCAGCTCATTACTTTCTGACACTTGCTGCTTTCAGGTACCAATCGGTCACATTTGACCTGCTCGACTTCAGGCATAGAGTAAAGGAAACAGTAACATGCCTCAAGAATGTGTTTTATATGTAGTTGAAACCTTACAAACTATTTTGAACCAACTTAATACAACAGACTGAAAAGACAAATCATGTTTATGTATTGCAGCATGTATACTTTGCATTTAATAGAGCTGTTACTTTTATTAAACCTTTGAAATATACTAAACTCCAAGGCTGAACACTGAGGTAATTAGTAAGTGACATATGTTACTTAATTTTCCTGGCTTGCCTAGCCTAATTCTATTTTACATTATTCAGTATTTAATGATAACGCATCAGTTAAGTTGCTGTAGTTGTAAACACTAGAAAAGTGATCTAAGATGACTTTTTATTTTTAAAGTTAATTAGGGATCCAAGACCATTCTCATACAGATTGTTGATTTCTGAAGTCTGTGTTACTTTTGAAGGTGGCACATTAGTGAAATCAGTAGTTCCTAAGTATTTTGGTCCAACTTTATTTCTGTCGTCTTTGGCCACCTACCAGAAAATGGTGCTGTCTTCCATCTGTGTGAATTACGTTAGTAGTATTTTAGTATGACCTGGAGAAATACCTAAAATTAAGTATGTGTCATTTTTGGTACCAAACCCGATATGTATGGTTTATTATGCTTAAAAAACACATAGCAATTCTTAAACATTTAATGGTCAAACCCTTACTGGGAACATGTCTGCAAATCAGGCCCGAGATATGTCATGTTGGGCACCAGGAAAGCAAACAGACAAATGACAACACTTACGGAAAGTTTGGATTAAGTGAGCTGCTGGGCAGCACAAGGGAGTACTCAACTGCCGCAATCACCGTGCCATCTGTTCTCATCCTTTTGTCCCATATCCTGCTAAGCGTGTGCCTCCCAACCTCTGCAGCCAGAGAAAGAAGGATCTTATAAGAACAGTAGCCTCGGTCACTGTTCAGGGATTCACCGCTTTGAACAGCGTGCATTAGGGTATGATATAAACCAAGCCACAAGACATGGTATCCTTTAAAGAGATGCTCAGGAATGGTTGAGTTAAACTGACTGTTACAGGTCAGAACTTTGTCATGCTCAGGCAACTGGCCTTCTCCCTTCTCAGACGTGTAATGTAACAATAAGTAAGGAAGAGACTAAGTCCATAATCTGAGACTGTTTTCATGCCTGAAAGAGATGACCTTGCTTGTCTGAAAGCCCGTCCATTTTTCCCAGCTGTGAGAGGTCAACCTGCTCCGTTGCATCTGCCACAGTGTCACAAAACTACGGGCAGCTGAAATCAGCTTTCTACAATAGCCTTAGAAGTAGGCATTTTTGCCAGTCAAGCTTTTAAATGTAATAAGAAACTTTCTTGACCGGAACTCCTGATACATCTCTTAATTCACCATCCCCTATACACATAGTTTAGTATTCAGAATATGTTTTCATCACAAGTATAATGATGTTTAAGAAGTTCTCCTTTAAGAACACGGTAAAAGATGATTTGAAGGTCTCAAAAATAAGTTTACTGGTGATCCAATTAATAGTTACACACTTTTAGTACATTTAGAAGCTGTCTTAATTCCTGTAGAACTCTCTTTGAACTCTGTCACCAGATGCGGTAAGCCCTAGAAGGTTTTTAAGGTATGGTGTTGACTTTCTCCAATGGATCATGAATCAGGAATTTTCTTATGCAGCAGTATCAGGTGCTATGCCATTATAAACTTGAATTCTTAAAGAACACGTCAATGAAATCAAAACATATAAAATCAGTTATGTTTTTCTGGAGAGTTCTTAATGAATCAAGTGTGCTGAACATTTTGATAGAATAATAATTAGCTGCTACAAAGTTAGATTTTATGGAAGACTGAAATATTTTTTTCTGTAAAGCGTCCTGTGCATTTCTTCATTTAAGAGTTAGGAATATAAATTTTATTGATGGAATTTACTTCTATGCTGACAATCTTATCTCAGGATAGATAAAAGCTATATTTTCTAAGACTAGCATTTGGACATACAAACACATAAAGCACTGATGTTCAGTTTAATTATTTCCTATTGTAAGCAACCAGGCGTTGTCTTCTATGTTTATAGTAATAGCATGACCTAGAGGAAATACAATCCAGGGCTGTCTCTGTTGATCATCCTGATTAGTTACCTAATCTGATTACTCTTCTTTGTGTTCCATATGTCAGATTCAAGGCAATAACCAGCACCGATGTATGAGGCCTGCTGTAGTTTAACAATACCAAAAAAAATTGCCTAATGTAATTAACAGACATACAGTGGATGTCCTGCCTTTAACTTGATTAATGGTCTGCTATGAGGATTTGCTTTTGTTCGTTCGTCCTTTCTTCTCCTACAGTGAACTGTCAGCTATTATCACTTGCATACTGGTTTTTGTAAAGTCATAATAAAGTTATCACAGATATGTTTATGTACATGGAACTTCATTTGAAAAAGTGTCTTCAGCTGAAATCAGTTATTGGTTCAAGAGACTGTAATTAAGAAGTTTATGCATAAAAATTAGTGATACATACAGGGAAGTCATTGTTCCTGGGTAATGTTTTTTCTGTGTTTCTGCTCTTAATCATTTGACGAGCATTTTCAGAATATACTAATTTTAATATTCTGCATGTGTTAAATCATACTTACCTGAAATTAATTGTAGAATGAAGCTTTATTAGAATATAAGGCATGTAATCTTGGTTCATTCCCTCTTCAAGGCTATAAGCATCAGAAAACTTTTTTTTTATATATTTTTGGTTTTCAAATAAACTGACTTTACACATTAACTTTAATTTTAAAATTCCCTCAGTGGATTTAGAGATCTGGGTTAAACCCTTCCTTCATTGCTTTTACAATCTTATTAATTTCAAAAGAGCTTTATATGTGTAAATGAAGAATAAATTTGACCTTTTGTTTTGAGATACAAGCTTATAGGGCAACGCTATTTGTTAATCCTCTCAAAGAAATCTTTATTTGGAATCTAGTTCCAGTGGATTACTTGCATGAGTAGCAACTGCTGGATCCACCCATGTTAAAATAGATCATATTTTAATGTTAGTTTTTATGGTTCAAGACTTGTGTTTAGTGGGAGGGTTCTTTCACCTGCTTGAGGGTTATTTAAAGTTATTTCTTGTCAAAAACTGAAATGAGATATTAGGATGTATGAACAATGCATACTATCACCTACCATTATGAGAGCACAATGGTTTTAGTAAGTATTATTGGTCAACTCTACTTTTTTCCAAAGTGATGAGGGAGGTAATTTCTGAATTTTTTAGTAATATGAATGCTCCTACGTAAGCAAATTTGTTTTATTTAAAAATTATTTTTTAAACTAACAAACAGTGCCTAAAGTAAGATATACATCTGTAACATCAAGGCATTTTTGAGTTAGTGTTGATATAATATTCCTGACCTTGTCCTCATTGGTTCCTGTAGCACATATGGTATGGAGGATCACCTACTGCTATTAAACCATTTTCTGGTACACCGTATGTGCTGTAACACTGGGACACAGTGGGGTGAATAAAATGCAAGCTGAAATATCTCAATATCCTTTTCTTTATTACTTAGAAAGCTAGAACAGTTTGTTTTTTGGAAGATGAATACTAGAAAGAAAACAACATATTAAAAGAACTTGGATTTCATTTAATCATACATCTGAAATAAAAAGGCAGTTTCAGTGCCTTAGTCAAGAGCCTACATCACAGACAGCTGAGATTAATCCCTCAATTAATGTTTAGTTCCATAGAATACTCGATTTATGTGTTTTGGATTCTAACACCGGTGAACAAGTTTGTGATTCCAAATACGATCCTTAAAAGGCCACAGAAATTCCAGTACACTACAGAAGGAAGATGTGAGAGCATCACCAGTCTTCTAGGTCCCTGCCGTCACGGAATTCATGGAATGAAAATGCTCAAACTGAAAGAAGTAGACCATGTCTCATACTACAGAGGAAAAGAGCAAGCTTGACCGTGCCATTTTCTAGGTGACACATGAGCCAGCAGTGTGGTCTGGCAGCAAAGGAGGCTACCAGCACGTTGGCTGTGCTTCAGCTTGGAGAATACGTTGGTGTGATCTAACAGCAGCCTTTGAACATGTACAAGGAGGTTATCAAGAGGATGGAGACAGCCCCCCTGCAGTGGTGCAGGGAGTGAGAGACAGCGAACGTAAATTGAAGTGAAGGAGGCTTTGGCTTGATACAAGGAAAAACATTTCTCGTACGGACAGTCAGGCAGTTGAACGGGTTGCACAGGGGCACTGTGCCATCTCCATCCTTGGAAGTTTTCAAGACCCAACTGGACAAAGCTCTGAGTGACCTCAACTGACCTTGCTTTGAGCAGGCCTTTGGACAAGAGACCTCCTGAAGTTCCTTTCTAGTCTGAATTACTCTAAGGTTCTATATTCAGTCTAATATAGCTGGCTTAACTGTGATAGATTTACAGAAGGCCAGATATGTAAGAAATTTTCCACTGCCTCTAGAAGCAGAAATGGTCTGACTCGGCAAATGACTGATACTGATTTAGAGAAGGTACCATCCATCTCCCACCTTCCTTGTCTTTCCCCCTAAAGTTAAGTAATAGTTGGGGAGGAAAGATTCCTCCCCAGTCCCTGGACATGAGCAGCAGAAGCCCTGAAGGATAGTTTAAATATTGTATAAACTTGATAATTATACAATAAATGATGATAAACCTACATTTCCTCTTGTTAGTGTTTACTTGCTTTTACCTCATGTTTTCAAGCAGATGCCAATTCCTGCTTTTTGGCTTGTAGTAAACTTCATCTGGTGGTTTTCTTTTTATTTATTGGGTGGTGCAATAAACCATTAGCATGACGTTTATTCCATTTACAGCATTACTGTCTGGAATACAATAAATACATCATCTCCATCATAAAAGTACAAAAAAATTCAATATGTGCAGAAATTTTCTTTTGTGTACTTCAGTGATATCGGTGTGATCACCATCAGCAGCTAATGAAAATGCACAAAGATGGATTTTATTATGTAGACATTCTAAAGCCAATGGCCTAATAGTCTGGTTAACTTTTGAGAGATTTGCTTACATCTTCCAAGTTTTGTGTTGTGTTTTTTTGTTGTTGTTGTTGTTTTTTTTATGTACCACTTTTCAATTTAATAATTCTGTAATGTTAATTTAAGATTTGCCTGACATGATTGGGCAGAAGCAAGAAAGCAAATTGTATCAGAAAAATGTACTTACTGCAAATCTGCTTTCATTGTGTAAAACATTGATTAGCTCCATAATGTGTGTAAGTTGAGATAATGTAATAAAATGGAAATTTGGATAAATGTGTCAGAGAGAAAATGTTTGTGCAAAATGAGGTTGTCACAGAGTATAATTTCATTTTTTTGTTGTTCTTTTTATTGTTTGGCATTTCCATTCCTCAATTTCTGTTTCCTCTCTTTTCAGGAGCCTGATTCTGAATACACCGTGTTTCAGGTAAAATTCTTTTCATAAATACAATTATGAGATACAGTTGTTAGGAAAAATTTCTGATACACTGAATAATGCTTGTTTTGTTGTTAAATCCGTAATGGCATAAATTTGTTTTTCATCATTGGTATGGCGGTATATCTAATAAGGAGTATTTTTAATGGGCACCTTTTATATTTAATAGAAGTTTACTTGTCTCATATATTTCCTATAGGTTTGTTCAGTAGCTCAGTGCCTTCTAAAAGCTAAACTGAATCTATCTTCAACTGAATGACCTTCATCTGCTGATGAGATTAGGAAAAAGCCAATGTGTATGTCACAGGCAGAGCAATGTTTATGCTTTTAGGGATCACTTTCGTGTTTCATTTAATGCGGTGTAATGGTGAGCTGTTATCCTTCCTGCTCCTACAGCTCATTCTCACTGCCTACCTTGTGTAGAGTCTGGTCGTCTTGAAGCTGCGTGATGATGCTTTACATAAGTGACAGAAGACTGAGAGTAATTCATTAGTTTTCACTCTGTCCATGTTAGCACTAGACCACTGCAATGGGAATAATAGTAATGTGCAGGTGGTGGCATCTTTTGGCTATAGCCCACAATGTGAAGAGGTTAAATGCAATGTGAAATTGCATCTTTGAGTACAGCTCAGTAACATATTTTGTAAGACTTTGATTACATTCCAATGAAGTCATGCACGTTATTTGCGTACAAAATAGTTTCAGTGAAATACTGCCAGCTATCTTCTTGACTTTAAAGACTACGCCTCACAAGGTAGTTGTTGCGTTCTGAGGTTTTCATTGCGTATGGAATAAAATTTATGATAATGGAAAGAATTGTTGAAGGACGAAACCTCTTAGAAATGTGCATTACCAGATTCAGGAAATACATTTAGATTTAGATTTTAGATTTTGGTTTTTAATTTGGTTTTTGGACTTTTCAGAAACAAGAGGAAGATATTTGATTCAGTGACAAAACACTTCTCAGGAACTAAGCAAAAAACACTTTGTCACTTTTTGTTCTGGAGTTTAGACTTCTTAAGAAATACTGTATCACATTTCTGTACTTATGGTACTTAAGATATTCCTTCCCTCTTTACTTACTCTTAGTTATTGTAAAGTTCTGATCTGGTTGTGAGTTAAGCAAGCTAAATCTGTTACTATGTTGTGAATATGTGGGTTGTCAGAAATGAGCTGTCCCTTTCTTGTTTCTACTGTTTAAGTGCCCTTTTTATAAAAATGCAAGTCGTCTTCATAAATGCCAGACATGTTGCTTGTCACAAAACAAAATTATTGATCCCACAAATAGAGAGCAGGTAATATAAATGGGATCTGTGGCAACAGTTTGAGTGGACAAACTTGTGCTAAGTTGAGGTATAAGTAATACTGTCACATGGTTACTCAGAAGCATGTGCATTTATTTTTATGGCTTTCTGTGATTGTAAGTGAGCCTTCCTCTCACTGTTGGCAGCGTGGTTTTTCCAGTTTTGTGCTCTTCTTACTCATTTTAATTGAAATTTTTCAGCTGAAGTTCTTGTGCATTAGTTTCAGATTAAACCCTTACAGGTTTTCACTGAGTGAAAAATCTGTGCATTGTACTATCGTAAATTACTAAAACCGTGTACTTTCTTATGAATGGAATTGTTAAATTTTTTCTAGGTAAGTGAAAACTGCAGCATAGAAACTAGACTTTATACAAGGATAAAGTAGCTATGCGAAGTACCAGGACTATTAGTACAAATTCTTTATAGAAAGTCAGCAAAAGTTGAAATTACTGAGCTGTTAAGAAAATCTTTAAACCTTACATGAGTTTTACATCTCATGTGATAAATGACACCTGTACTTTATGGAAAAAAAAATCAAAATTTGTTGGGGAGAGTGTGTTTTAACAGACGTTTACAACTCAGTAGCCATATGTTGTAGTTCTAATAAAGTCCTATGTGACTTTTAATGAATAAGTAGAATTTTTTTTTATGAATGAAAACGGCGTCAGAAATTTCATTTAGTTCTTTTGAAATACTTTTTCCTACATTTCCCTTTGCATTTGTGTGTCAATATACATTCATTTCCCTTTGTATTTGTGTGTCAATATACATTTCTAATTCCTTTTCCCATGCCTTGATTTTTCACATATTCAGCATAACTGTGTACATGCATAGAAATAATACTTTTGTTTCATATGGATCTTGTAACTAGTAGTTAGGAATTTCAAATTGTCTTCTTGTCTCCCAAGATAAAGGTCATCTTTCCATAGTTTAAGTGACAAATTTGACATTTTTCTCTCTCTTGCTGTTTTGATCAGAAGTCCTGTAATAAACATTGCTGCAGGCAATACTCTAATCTACAGACTGATGTTTAATTAAGAGATAATATATGATATTTGAATTTTTTGTTGACTGTGACGCCTCAGACTAGAAGCTTAAGACTGGAAGAGCAGCCCAAGGAATCTATTTTTTATGACAGATATTTGTGCAATAATGACAAAGAGACATGTTGCTTTTAAAAACACATTATCTCATGTTTGTTATTGGAAAAATCGCAAAGATATATTATGTCTATGTTAAGGACTGGCCCCAGTTTCAGCAATTAGTGTAGAGAAGTTGCTACTTTCAGTTCTCAGGAAAATACCATTACTATGGCAGCTTCTCTTATCTCTACTAGGAAATTAGCCTGTGTTTGGCTATAGTGAGAGTTCTAATTTCAGTTTATTCCCAATATAGACATGGTTATGTTGACTTCAGACATACATGTCTTTGAAAAAAGCAGTGTACGTTCAAGGTGTTAAAAATTCAACAAACTAAATACTTCTATAGAATAATGAAAAACACTCAAGGGTGTTGAACATCTAACTGCAAATCTCAATGCTAATTAAAGGTTGTCACCCTACTACGTAAGAAGAAACTAGAAGATAATAAAGCAGATCTGGATTATGTCTGTCTGGCCTAGATTCAAATCATCCTCCTCTGTTCCTTTCTCTTCATACTTGAACAAATGTTTCTGATTGTGGTTGAACTGGCTGGCTAAATCCCTCTGTTACTTCTGCTTGGAAGAAAGCACTTTTAAAAAGGAGAGATAAATATTTCAACAGTTTTAGATATTCTTTGGTTTTGATTGACAGTTATAAAGTTGCGTAGAAATATGAGGGAAGTGTAGAGCAAGGGATGGTCAGAGGCAATATGAGTGAGAAGTGTCCCATTTCTTCAATTATTAAATAAGCCTGAGGTCCAGATCTCCTACCTCTTATTTAAAGAACAAATGGTTCCATGTGTTTGACGTTTAGTTCTATTAAGGTATCATCAGTCTGTTTCTGTTTTGAAATGTCGCTTTAGCAAATATTAAACATGCTTTTTCACCAGACTGCTATGCCCTGTGTCAGAAAAGAAACAAATCTAATTGTTTTGGCAGTGATATTTACTCTGGAAAATTTATGATGATCTGTTCAAGATCTGAAGGAAGATCAGGGATTGGTCTTGTGGCTCCCTTTTGTCATGCCAGCTCTATGAGTACATTACAGGCATATTAAGTTATCCAAGTCATTGGACTTGCACTTATTTTGTTGGTACTTCTGTATGGCTGCCATTGGTTTTTCTTTTCCCCACTGATTTGGTGTCCCTACAGTCTACGCAAAGCTTGTCATGTAGGCTAGAATTATGCTTGCCTTTCCACACTGCTCATATAATCCTCCAAGACATTTAATGTAGTAGTTTGTCAGTTTGCTTCACTAACAAGTAACCCAATAATCTCACAATCTGAGATGCTTAATTTATACATTTATGCATTTTTTACAGCTGATGCTTTGAACAAAGGAATTTTAGACTGCCGTTCTGAAGATTGTTGCTTGTGGATAGTAATTAACTGCTGGTTAAAATATTTTCCTTCTTTCTCTACAGATGCCTGGGAGGGGCATTAGTTAGCATTACAGTGATTTACTTGCCTTCCTCTCCCCTCCCAATTTAAATAAGTTTTCTGTCAGCAGTGGGTTTTGAATGTCACTGGTAGCTGGAAATTTTTTCAAAAGCACAAGATCTGAGTTGCCTGTGACCTAAATTAGTCATAAATTTCATGAGGCATGAAATTCTGTCCTCCAAAGTCAACAGCTATAGCTGTTCCACTCTCAAATTGTTATCTAAAGTCTTGGTCCCCTTTCCGCCTCCATCAGGAAATCGATGGATATACCCAGCTGTTTAAGTTAGTACCTTATTCAAGCTTATTAAATTTGTGAAATGGAAAAATTGCTGATTAGATTATTTACTTGGTGTCTTGAAGATATTTTACTTTTTACTTTATGCTTATTCAGGCTGCCTGGAGCCTGAAAACACGAGCTTTGACAGAAATGGTGTATGTGGATGAAATCGATATGGATCAAGAAGGAATCGCAGAGATGATGCTAGATGAAAATGCCATTGCTCAAGTCGCACGTAAGAACAACTTTCACTTAAATACGTTAAAGCAACAAGAGCTTTTTTAGTCAGGATTGTCATCCAGCATAAAATAGTACATGCTGAGGTGATCTGATATGGCTTTTAGCTATTGCTACAAGAAGAGTTTTAGGTTGTTTTATGGTTGCATGGTGATATTGAGATACACCGCATGATCTTGATGTGGTGCTTAGGCCTGTCAGACGGGGATTCAGACAAATAGTGTTTTGTCAGCTTTTCCTCTATATCTTTGTACTCACTAGCTTTTTTTCCATCAGTGCATTGATTTCTTTTACTCCTTTCTGGCTGCTTTAGGCACTGTGGGAAACTAGAGAAAAATATATGCCCTTGATGTACTGTGAATCTCATCCATATGCCTGTACTGTAGGCAACAGTCCAGCCAGATCTGACATCAGGTTTTTGTATCATTTCCCATAAACATTTTCTGAACTGATTTTCTCTCTTCTGCTTTTCTCTACTTTTTCCTCTCTTCCTTCCCAGGGCAGTTTTACATCACTGTCATTTTTTCTTGTATGCAGCTCTTTTCAGCTTCGTCAGTTCCCTTCTAAGTGGGCAGTAATTAGTAATCTTCCACTACTTTTTGGCATTATTTCTATTTTTCTCTGTTTCTTTAGTACAATCCACGTGGGCATTTTTATGCATCTTATTAGATGTGGCTCTCAACAACCTACTGTGTAAAGGAATTCAAGGGAAGAACTGGACATATGCCAGAATTAATACTTGAAGCATTAACAGCTTTTCTCATCTGGATAGAAGTAGGCAATTGCATATCTATCTGATTACATTTTTAAAAATTGTCATTACGTGCTTGGTCACATACAAACAGTCAAGCAGTACTCAAGTTGTGTTTATACATTATGATAATCTAATTACATGTGTCTGTCTTCATATAATTGAGACTTTTATTTGATTTTACACCCCCTGCAGTAGAGACCGTCTGCTAAAAAAAATCACTTGATGAATATTATTGAGAAATAAGGCATTCTGGAAAAATACATTCATACTATTTTTAAACTGAAAAAGGTGACTTTCTGGATAGCATGTCACAGATTTCAAAGCCAAAGAAAATCATTATGATAGTGCAGCTCCTGAATCACTGAGATAAGACTTTGCTATTTGTGCTTCAAATCCACTAGATGTGCCTGAGCTAGTATATAGTTTTTCAGAAAGTTTAAGAACTTTCCAGAGAGAAAGAACCCTCTGCAGTCTTTGTAAATTATTACATTTGCTAGCTTTTATCAGTGTGTGCCATATCTTCAGTGGGAATTATCAACTATAGCTCCAGCTATTGCTTCTTTGTGTACATTTTATGCCTGATATGAAGTCTTTATTTTCAAAAGTATATTTCCAAAGTAAATAGTTTAAAATCTCATTAAGTCATCCAGTGATCTTTTATTTGATAAGGTAAACAATCTTCTCATTCGGAGGTACACCTTTTAATTTTTGAGTTGAGTCTTGAAATTCTTCTTAACCCTCTCCAATTTGCATGCTTTTTCAGTTGTAGTCACCAAACCAGGCAACAGTCCACTGACACATAGAAAATACATTTTTCTTCTACAGCTTGATTTTACTTTCTTTATACATCTACAGTGTTTTTCTGTTACACTTTTATATAAAAGGTAAGCACAGATATCACTAGGGAGGATGCAAAGAGGACAGAGCCAGTCTTTGCAGTGGTGCCCCGTGACAGAACCCGAGGCAGTGGGTGCAAACTGAAACACAGGAGGCTCTGTCTGAACATCAGGAAACACTTTTTTTACTTTGAGGGTGACTGAGCACTGGCACAGGTTCAGGGAGGTTGTGGAGTCTCCCTCCTTAGAGATATTCAAAAACCGTCTAGACGGGGTCCTGGGCAACTGTCTTTAGGTGAACCTGTTTGAGCCTGGTTGGACCAGCTGATCTCCAGAGGTCTGTTCCAACCTCAACCATTCTGTGATTCTGTGATCACCTCCCCATTTACTTGTGATTTAATAAAAATGGGTGCTTGCTGACTGTGGGATTTTTCTTTTGCTGTTAAAGTGTGTTAACCATAGTTGGTCTTGACTCAGGGTCTTTTACTGCGGCAAATCTTCCAGGATATCTTCCCCCACTATAATTATAGCTTACAAACTTAAAAATGTGTAGTCATACCTCAGGTATTACAACTGGTATTGTCTTTACTTCACTTACTAAGCAGTTCAAATCCTTTTGCATCAGTTACATGTCCATTTCAATTTTGCATCTGTCCTTACCTCAGTTTCCATATTGAACTGTCTTAATAATGATTTTGCTCTCAGTCTTGCATTATTAAATAATTGCTAAATTGTATAGGGCCCACTGGAAACAAGTACTTTTCTGTGGTTCCTCTTCACACATATATAATGAAACCTGTCTTCCACCAGTTTTTAAACTTTTGTAATTTTGCTGTGTTAATTTTGCATCAGTCTTGTTTATTACTAAAAATGTCCTGTAGCATAATTTTACAGAAAATTCCCACTATGTTACCTTCAAACTGTTAACACCATCAATTTTGTCAGCTAAGGTTGTAATCTTGTTTAAAAGTATTACCTTGACAACATATTTTTCAGAAATTCATACTAATTAGCCTTATGGATAATCACTGCTATTTCATTAACTGGGGCATTAAAGGAGTCATCTGAAGGCTTCACTAACTGCTGAAATTACGCTCTAAATTCTGCTGCTGTTAGTGGCCACATGCACTGCTGTGGCCTCTTGATCTCTATTCATTGCTAGTTCAGTTGTGATTCTCAAAGTTAGGACTGACTTACCTGGGGTGAAATTAAGGGAATTAAATCCTGTAAGCGTTCTCCCAGTACACCAAAAGCACAAAACAACTGTAGTTATAAAAAAACATGTCTGGAAAAGGGAATTTAGTGCCCTACCTTTTTATATTATTGCAATAGTTAAAAAAAGGCTCAGAAAATGGAATACTAGTTCATTGTCTGTTCGGTTGAAAACTTGAAGGCCACTTTCTTCATTTCTCAGAATAGTGCCCTAGTTATCATGTTAGAAAATCTGCTGGGTGGACTGTCCAAGATTCACAGGACTATCAAGAGCAAGTAAGCAGGAGAAGTCCTGAATGTGGCCGACCAGAAGAGAGAGAATCCTGAGTTTTGATCCTTATTTTAACATCACTTACATATTTAGTTGGTTTTACGAACGAGATCATGATTAATACCTTTTTTGTATTATTTAACTTTAAATACAACTGTAGCCAGGTGGCTACTGTAATATTGGAGTCAGAGTTGCTTGGTATCAGCATGGATTAAAAAAGGTAGAAGGTATTTAGATTGAGTTAGAAGTTATTGATTTGGACAAGTCTACTAAACTTGCTTAATCAATGGACTGGTAGCATCTCAGAGGTACTTACAGCTTGAGATCAGAAGAGAGAGAGGACTGAAAAAGGGCAAACTTGGGGTTTATCTGGGGAAGAAAAAGAAGGAAGGAAGCTATCTACCTATCAGTTTAACTTCAGTTCTTGGAAACGTTTCGAATAAAAGCAGTTCTTAAGTATCTAGAAAGTAAGTAGATAAGTAACAGTGATTTGTCAAGAACTAGCTGTGTCAACCTAAATCTCATTTCTTTGTGTACATGGGAACAAGCAGTGAACAGACCAGAAAGTATAGATGTCATCTTGCTTTTAACCAAGTTTTTAAACTGTTTCTTAGACATTCACTTAGGAGGTTAGAAAAACTGATTATAATCAAATGTCAGTGAAGGTGATGGAAAATCCATATGCAGGAACTAGTAATTCTTAATGATCCACTGTCAAAACAGAAATATGTGAAAAGGGGGGCCCTTCAGCTGTTCACCTGAGCTCAAGACAATTTGGTATTTTCATCGATGACCTTTGGATATGGATAAGTTTGAACTTTACTGTGCCCTAAATGGTGGGTGGGGGTCCAACATGGGTCTAATGACATGAGATACCATTCTCCATCTGCCCTGTAGCTGAAAGTTTTGGTTAACTTACTCAAGTCTGGGTGCTATTTTAGTCCCAGATAGAAAATACACCATTTCAAATTAGCACGATCTTGTTCCAGTAACCTTTCTTACTGCAATGCTATCTGTTGCTCCTGAGATGTTGTTGAGAATTGTTGTGGTTTAACTAACTCCGGTAGACAGCTAAGCCCCCCACAGCTGCTCGCTCACTCCCTACCGAATGGGAAGGGTAAAAGTGAGAAAACCACGTTTGTTGTGGCAGGTTTCTTGCAATAATCTGACAATTTATCTGTAGTACAGTGCAATATTTGTTTTTTTGTCTTCTTTGTTTAGTGCTACGTCCCCTCAGTTTGAACAAAGAAATTTCCAATTTATTGTAAGACACAGTAATTCTTTAAAGTCCCCTGGACAAAGTTGTAGTATCTCAATGTGAAGTGAGAAATGTTCTTATTTTATAGGACCAGGAACATCTTTGAAACTCCCTGGAACCAGCCAAGGTGGAGGCCCTAGCCCAGCTGTTAGGTATGTGATTTTTTTTTTTTTTTTTTTTCAAATGTGACTAGTTTCAAATGAGAAAATCCTAAGTTTACCTTCTGAAAATTAAATGCTTCAGATATAAGTGTTTAAATTCTCTATCAATAAATACCGCTCAACATAAGGATAATGTGCTTAACATCTTCAGGCCAGTAACTCAATCAGGAAGACCTATTACAGGATTTGTGAGACCCAGCACGCAAAGTGGACGGCCAAGTACTATGGAACAGGCTATAAAAACACCTCGAACAGCTCTCACAGCTCGTCCAATTACTAGTGCTTCTGGGGGATATGTCCGGCTAGGAACGGTAAGTTGTTTGACTCTGTTCTCACAACGATGGCTTGTGTGGTCATAGTATCTGGTACAGTGACGTTGTAGTTGACTTAAAAGCTGCATCTAAACTCCAGTTTGAAGGAGGTGAGTATTTTTAATTTTTTTGTTCAGATTGTTTTCAAAGTAGAGTTTGAAAATGTCACTTGTTAGTTTGCTGGTCTGTTTATATAAAAAATGTACATGAATTCACAAATTCACAAAAATTCACCTAAATTCCAAATTCAGAAGTTCTATGAGACTCATTTTTATTCACTGAAGGCAATGAAAAGACTATGACATGATTTCACCATAAGTACGTGGAGACCTTCTCCAGGTTTTTCAGGTTACTACAAAACAATTACTAATCTCTCAGTGTCTGTCACTTCAGAAGATAAGGAAAATAAACTATGCTAGTTTTATCGAGTTTTATTGGCAAAATTAATAAGCTGCAGCTGGCACAAATATGTAATACAGATTAACATCACATTAATGGCAAAATGTGTTACCTTTTCACTGTCCTCACTATCGCAGGTATGAACTGATCTTTCCAATTCTTTCTTGAAGATTTTTTTGTTATGTATCCCAACTACCTTCAGTCCATCTAACCGTTAGTCTAAGCTATATGCTTAGGTACATTATGGAAATACTGGAGAGAGGGAAGAAAAAAGTAGTTGCAGAAGGTAATTCAAGCAACCCCTTTCAGGGACTGTATGGGAGTAGGGCAAGTTCCTGACTTTCAGAAAAGGTGAAATTCGGTAAGAAGAGTCTGTACTGCACAGTAGAGCAGTTCATCTACAAATGCTTTGTTTGGTTGTGGGGTTTTTTTTCTATGCTATTAGTATTTTGAAATTTTTCAGGAAAAGAGTAGGGGATCTTCCCACTTAAAAACTTCTTTTTCCCCTTCAGGCTTCAATGCTAACAAATCCAGATGGCCCTTTCATAAATCTGTCTCGACTGAATTTAGCAAAATATGCTCAAAAACCCAAACTGGCAAAGGTATGTAACTATTTTGGTTAATGTTGTTATATCTTTTTCTTATTTTCTGGCGTCATTCTAATGTAACTGTACGTGGGGTTGGGGATACAAACAATGATGAACTGGGTTGTAAATGTAAAGTTCAGAAAAATAGTGGGTTACTTATCCTTTGACAGTGGTTGCCAGACTTGAAATTGAAAATATGTCTGAAGAGGTTATGTTGAAAGTATAACCTATGAAAAACATTTGTATAGAATAAAATACTCTAATGGTAAATAACTTTGAACTGTGCATATAGGAGTGATGAAGGGCAACCAAACAAAAAAGCCAGGCAGAAAAAAAACAGCAGAACTCTCCTTAGTGTCCAGAAATGCGGTTCTGTGTACAAATGGATGGGAATCCTGGCCTAAAAATGTTCAAATTTTTCCCTTTGGTTTTATGGCATGAGTTAACACTTTTTATATAAAAGGATTTCATCTTTTTGTTCAGAATTCTTCTTCGTTTTAACTTAAGATCTTATGATTCACAGCCATTGAAATCAAGACTGTCTTCCAATAAAACTGCTTTATCCAGGTTATCTTCCCAACTTATGGGTTTCAGCTCTGAGTGGAAGGGACCTTAAAGTTGTGTAATGATTTATCGTCTGTGACCTTTCAGTCCAACAGACCCAACACAACCAGTTAGTTGTATAGATGAAGATGTTTTCTGTGCATACTTTGTTGTCAAAAAAACAACTCTTGGGCTAAGACCAACAACTCGTTTTGCACAAAGTGTCGAACAGTAAGAGACAGGCTCTCAGGAGCTGTATTTGGCTAGCAAGCTAGAGTTGAAAGAACCTGCACAGATTCGGTCTATTTTGAGAAATGTAGTGGTGAACACTGCTAGAAGACTAGCAGTACCTAATGATCTGCCTGGGAGAAATTAGCTTCTCCAGTCCAAAACTCGAGTTAATAATTTTTCATAAACGATTAGCAAATTCCTTTGCTTTTTAAAACCTGATCTAGACTGATGTAGGGCATTGCTTTTCAATGTGGTTTTCAAAGGAAATAAATTCTGGGTGATTGTTCTTCAATTCTCAATCTTCAATCTTATGTTCTTAACCCTCTCCTTACATCTCTGTCCCTTGGCCCCTTAACCAAACTAGGAAGAAGAACAAATATCAAATATAGTAAATTCTGGTCTGGCAAGATAATGAAAGAATTCCAAACTATCATCTGAGGGCAGTTACGTGTCAGTTCTTTATCAGTTCTGAAAAAAATGCAAGCCTTTTGTCCAATTATGTCCTTGCCGACAATCAGACAGCACACACATTATTCTAAATCCATCACAGTCTGTAAAATCGGGAAAATGTTAAGAAACCTGAGAAGGATTAAGAAAATCAAAACACACCCATAAGAAACTAGGCTTAGTTCTTCTCCTTGAAGACAGCTAGCTTTTAATTGTGTTTGGTTAGCTTTCAGATGAAATATTTATTCTCTGCAACAGCTCTCAGGAATGAGAAATGTATATATTTTTAACTTCTTTTTTTTTAATTAGCATTTTCTGGGACAATGGGGTAGCTCTGTCTTCCTTCAGTTTCATATGAAAAGAGGCTTAAGCCAAAAAATGTAAAGCAGCAGTGATAGAAACATCCATAGGCAGCAAGTGTACTTGTCAGTATTATGAAGTTAATACATTATGACATTAACATTTCACACAGAATGTAAGATGTAAGTTTAAATTTGGAGCTACACAGAGTTACAACTTTTTTTTATATGAGACAGCATTAAGGCTAAAGCCAAACAAAGCAGGAGGTGAGACTGCAGACTGCACTCTGTATTAAGAATCATTGATTAAAGTTTTAAAACTCTTTGAGCTCTCACTTCTTCCAAGTGCAAAAAGAAGATAAAACTTGCAACTATCAAATTCACATAATTAGCCTGTGTTGGTATATACTCCTCCTACATACTTCCTTATGTGTTTGCAAAGTATACTCGTCACATGTCTTTTTAAGTTACATTATCTATCTTTTCATTGGACAATTAGGTTTTCTGATGTTTTGAAGTATAGAGGAACGTGGCTTCTCTCTGACTACCATCAGCCATGTTAAGCACTATCACAGGAAACTGCACATAGACATACAATATCGCCTGTCGCCAGAGAGAGCCTCTGGTAAATCTCAGTTAGCCACTGATTTATGACATGAATCAGGAAGTTTTATTTTTTTTAGCTTTTGGATTTTTAATAGAGTTGTTAAGATAGCTCTAGATATTTTTATTCAAGTGAATGTTCAGTCATTTAAATCCTTTTGAAGGTCAGGGACTATAGATAACAGCAGTAAATTTCTCATGCCAGCCATGCAAGAAAACGTTTTTTTTATCACTTTAGATTTACTCACTTTTACTGAATGCCTCCCTATTATTGAACTAGAGGAGATGTTCTGCTTCTTCTTTGTTTTCTATTCTTTTGTCATCCACCTGTTCTAACCTCCCTATAAATGTGTTTTTATTTAGAATTCTTTAATGTCTTTTAATCATTTGTTCAGAGTCTTCTCTGACCAAAAGTAGTAGAAAAGTAGGTTGTGGTTTACTTTCCTCACCAGACATGACAATTCATTAGTAATCCTTTAGTTTCCTTAAGGTAAATCTTTTTAAGAATTTTGTCTAAGAAAAGCTGGCAGACGAGTCATGGAAGCCCTTAGAAGACTGTTGTCTCATTCTTGATTTCTTTCCTCATGGGGCTATATTTTCTTTTAGTTTTTTATAATGAATAATAAGAATTTAGAAAAACGTTCTGGCAGTTAAGACCTGGGATTTGGATGCAGAAAAAGATCAAGGTTCAACTTAAATGGACTTTGTGTTACTAGCACCCCTACTACGTTTCTGGGAACAGAGGCTTCTAGTCTCCATTTAGTTATCTAGTATCTTTCAGCACAATTTTATTCACTTAAAATGTCCCTCCCATTAACTGTTATATACTCTTCTATATTCTAGTGCAGAACAGCTACAAGGTAGTATGACTTGCTTAGCTTTATACAGGAGTAAATAAAGATGCAGCTATATTGCCATGCAATTGTTGTGGGCTTATGAGCAGCTACCACAGCACAGCTGATGTATGCTCTTTAAGCTTTGGTATGATGATTGTGTCTTAGAGTTTCAGAAGCACAATATTGTTACCATTTATCATTTACAAATAAAAAGGGTTTTCCTTTACATATCCCAAAATTATGTAGGGTTTAGAATTTTTTTTCCCTAAGGCAAAATTTGCTCACCTTACATCCTTAATAAATCTATGTTTAATTTAAATAGCTTTTGCAATACATAAGCACCTAACTATACATTGCAAACAGTCTTTGTTAGATCAGTTGTTGATTTTACAGTTAAAAAGTCATGAAAATGGTACCTGGTTTTCAAATCTATATTCACTTTCAAATTATAGCTGCCACTTTGTTGTTTTTTTTTTAAAGTGACTTTGAGGACCAAAGATAAGAGACAATTCTACTAATCTCTTGCAACAAATTAGGAATAAAAATGCTTTCCTCTAATGACAATGTAGCACATCTATAGTTTTTGTCTATTCAAGTCTTAGTTAAATGTAAATGTCAGCAATTGTGGTGTGTGAATGTGATTGCTTTCACAAAGAATTAATTTCTGCCTAACATAATAAAGATTCTGTATTCATGTTAAATAATATTATCAATTTTCATCTTCAAATATGACAAGGTTTTAAATATTCTTCTGACAGGCATTGTTCGAATATATTTTTCACCATGAAAATGATGTAAAAAATGTGAGTAATTCATATGTTCCATTTTCAGTTATTTATTAAGTATCGTTCAGTTATTTCTGTCAGTATTCTGCTAAACTAAGGCTCCAGGTAGTATATCGTATCTGAGTACAAAAGTGAAACATTAAAAGTTGTTTAAGAGAGAGAAATCCTTTCTTACAGGGGTGATAATCAGGGATGATCATTTGCAAATACCAAGATATGGATTCCTTTTTTTTTTTTTTTTTTTTTTTTGAGAAGCAAAGCATTCTAATGCTTAAAACTAGCTCTCTCATCTGTCAACATGATAAGATCCCTGTATCTAATGATTTCATTTTAACAGAATGTACTGGAGCCTGAGCAGTAGCTGAAACTACATGTCAGGTAGCTGAACTGCCTAGAAAGTTCAGAATTCCTGAGGCTTGAGTGTAAGCAATAAGTTACGGAAGACTGTCTGTTAACAGAAGAAGATGAAAATATCTGACAAAATAGTGATTAAATTGAACATCATTTGACTTCTTTAACTACTGAGATGATTGTTTATTCATTTGGGTGAATAGGAAGGAAATGTATTTGGTGAAAGTGCGGAAAAAGAAGATATCAATAGGACTTTGGACACTTTTTCTAGGAATTTAATGCTGTAGTGCTGAGGTGTTTTGTGGTCTCAAGAGAAAGATTATATTGTCCATATGATTGTCTGTAATATTTATTTTCCAAAAGTTTTCCTAATTATACTGGTTCCCTCTTACCCTGTCAAAATTTTTCTTAATGTAGTTCTTCATATGTTGCTGCACTGAATGGCTAAGATCAAGTTTTTGGGTACATACTGTTTAAACTTTTAGAAACAGATAAAGGTTTCAGAACTTTTTAGGCAGTTCACCCAGGGAAGTAATCCATGTATTCAATGAATAAAGTGTCAAAATATTTCATTACTGTGTTAGATATATGCACCCAGTTGAAATGGAATCAAAATTTCTGCTTGAAGTTTGTTTGGAAGAACTGTTTGTGTCAATAATGCATAGCTGACTGAACAGTTACTGAATTTTCTGCAATACTACTAACTGGTATGTAGTTAAATCTGAAGTTAAACTCTCCAGTTATTCAATAACACACACAAAAAAATATTCTGTTGTTGTTGACATAGATCAGAACCATTTCCAAATGTGAAGCTTTTTAATCTAGTATCAAATGATTATAGTTGTACACTGTCAATTTATTGCATAGCATTCTTTTAAGAGGATTGAATTATGGTGCACTATTAATCCAAAATATGGTTGAAACAGTAAGTGCAAGTGTCAGAGAGAAATAGAAATTAAAATATACATATTCTGATACTGAATGTGAAGAAAGTGCCTAGGTTTTATGCCACTAATAATTAAAATTTATGTTGTTTGTTACTGAGAATGCTGTTCACTAAGTATAAAATAGTGATACTTGATAAGATGCCACATGTGCCTGTGACCTACACTTTAAGGACGTGCAAGATCTTCTAGGCTAGACAGATAATTTCAAATAATGCAAGGAGTTTTCCAAGTACTCCAGAAAAAAATTGTAAGATGTTTTTACTCTGTGCCGCATGTGTCTTGACATCCTTTCTGAGAAGCCCAGATCACTGTCTTGCAGGGAAAGTTTTGCCTGTGTATTTTATGCACCCTAGCCAGTTGAATAAATATCCATAAGCAAAGAAGTGTCAGCGTAGTCACCACAGTTTATTGTGTAATGAGAGGGAGATCAACATGTTTGGTTAATGATAGCATCTTGTAGGAAAAAAAATTGTCACACGTCACAGTACGAGGTGCCTTTGTAATGTAATATGTATCTCTGAAGAGGTTCTTTTTTTTATGTTTTCAGTTTGCTTTCTCTAGTTTGCTTTCGTTCCTCTTTTCTTCCATGCTTTCTACGCCATTTTCAATGTAATTCTATTCTTCAAACTGTCCTCCCTTCCTTTTGAACCTCATCTGCATTATTTTTTTCTTAAACAAAAAAAGAAGTACTTTAACTTCTGATTAAACTTGACTGTGTCACTGTTTATTCACCTCTCCTACCAATGGCATTTCACTAATTAATTTTGGTGCTTCTCTGAAAAGAATTTGGTAGCTTGGGATTCCACAGAGAAACAGAACATACGTTAACTTTAAAAGTTGATCTGGGTCTTGCTTGATCACCCATTAGAACATTCAGTGACATCTCTTGCATCTTTGTATTACTTGTTACTGTGTCATGTTGCACATTCTTAAAAAAAAAAAAAAAAGACGAAAAACACAGCACTTTTCTGCATGAGATGAAATGAAAGAGCTTGGACAGCTTGGAAGCTTGGGAAAGCTTGTGTTTGTTACTGTATAGACTGAAAAGCCTCTACGTGTGGACTTTTGTGCATGGGTAGAATTAGAACACCAGTTCCTGCAGTTTTGCAAATAAAACACAGAAGTAGTAGTGACGATATCCTTCCTTTGTCACTGTGCTGATGTGGAACAGTCTGTACTGTTCTCAACTGCATTATTATTTAAGAAGCAAAGGCAGTTTTATTATTTATCTTCTGTTTAGTATTCAGCTAGTACATAGAAAGGAAAAAAAAAAAAAGCCTCAGCAATTTCAGTTGAGAAATATCATTCATCAGTGTGCATTCAGCTGGACAAGTAATGCTAGGATCTTGGTTCAAATTAAAAGTAAATACACCTGTAATCTATCAATTATCAGAAACGTGGGGATGCAAGAAGAAGAGAGAAGCACTGAGCTTTTTCAGCACTTGAAAATGTATTCAAAAGTCTTTCATCTTATTTAATGAAAAATTAGACAGTTTTCTGAAGAAATTACTATTACCCTATCCATTGTTGTTCTTGACTTGTTTCCTTTTGTACATATATACTTAATAACTGATCTTCTGTACCCCTTGAGCTATTTCTAGAAGCCGTTTTATGAGCTAAATGCTCTAAGAGCAGGACAATTTGAAAGACTTGTCCAGAAAGAGTTCAGTTGCTGCTTTTTCAGCAGTGGACTGAGACATCATATTCTCCCTTTATTCACAGGCAGGTAATGATGACAAGACACTTTGTCCTGAGGAAGAAAAATAAGCGTACGGTATATACTTGGGGCCAGAAGTCATGACCTCTGATATTTCCTTAGTTCTTTCTAATAATCTGACGTTTATATTCTCTGATAGAAATCTATTTATAATGGAATTATGTTAGATCTACAAACTATGGAAATCCAGAAGACAGTTACTGAAAGAAATTTTGCTAAATTGACTATGGCTAATGTCATTTACTCAGCTGTCTTGTAGACTATCCTGTGTTGATTTGTCTATGAATAAGACTTTAGTCAGTAACTGTTGCTGGGAGAATTACTGCCATTCAACAGCATGTGAAAGAAGGAGCAGACACTTGCTGTCGTTTCCATCTTATCTAATTTCTTGGTGCATGCAATACTGTGTATTAAATTACTGTTTCAAACAAACGTACATTTACCAATTTAATTTTGCAATACAATAGTAAATTACCACAACCCTATAAGCTGTTTTATATTGAGTTACAGCTGATAGATGATTTGGAAGTCCTAGTTATAATACAGTTTAGTTAAAGAAAGCAATGGTAAAAAAATGAATCTCAGAATTGTGCTAAATACAGTTACAATTAAAGAATCTATGTTCTTTTTCGTTTAAGAACAGCTCTGATGTATTCTTTAAGAAAAACAACTTTTTAAAAAAAAAAAATCAACAAAACAAACAGAAAACCCACTAAGTATTAGGGGGGTTTATTATTTTTATTTGCACAAATATAAGAACTGAGAGTAAAATAAATTTGTTCTGAAAGGCTTCCCAGGGCTAATACTGTTTTTGAAATGGGCTCCTGCATACGTGAGTAACTATGTTAAGTGCTCTACACAGTAACAGTTTCAGCTGACCAGCATTTCCAGATGATGAGTTATATCCTAAAATTTATTAAAACTTTTGGGACAATCAGTGGGTGTTTTTTTTCTGATATGTGCATTAGCAGAAAAAATCCTTAAAAGGACATACCAGTTTCTGCCAATCGACAATCCGTGCTGGTTTTCCCTTCTAGTTATTAATACGACTGCACCAACATTCAGCAATGCACAGGAGTGGAGGACATAACACGTACTACTGCTATTATAGATTAGTTTTAAATTAACATGCTGTGCGTATTGAACATTGATTTGTACCTAAACTGTGCAATTAAAACAAAAAAAAGTTTGCAGCAAACTGAAATTGAAATATGCCAGCAGTTGGTATTGACATGGCAAGGTGAAGACTTTGACTTTTAAAAGTCTTATTTTAATCAATTTACTAACATTTCAAAGGCCACACTGTCAAAAGATTTTGTTGTAATACCAGCAGAAAGTCTAACTACTAGCATGCAAAACGCTGAGATTGATATGCACAAAGCCTTTTCAGGCAAACACTTTCTAGAAGATGATAACATTTGTAGTGGTTTTGGACTAAAGTTTTTGTGATCGCTTGTAAAGTGTCAGAAACGGGATTTTCCTATTCTTTTCCTAATTCCTAAGTAGGAAAGTATAAAAACATGACTTGAGTTCAGAAACTAACTTCAGGATGAAGTCATGCTTTGTTTCTTGATGTTATTACTGAGATCCCAGTAAGATTCAGGATCTGCACAGACAGATAAACTGCTGATGTTAGTGTCTACTAAGCCTGAAGCAGTCTTAGTTCCCACTTTCCAATAGCAGCCAGGATTGTTAGCCTTGCATAAAATAGTTATCAGAAATAATTAGGGTACCAGAAAGAAAGCTGAATGTGTAGCTACAGAAGGGATAGTTTTTTGAAATTCAGTCCTTCTTCTTGAATACTCGTCATCAGAGCACTCCAAGGAAAGCTCTTTGAAGCACGTTATTTGCAGTATGATCCTTACCCGTTTTAAGTGGCTGCTCATGCTGCGTTGGAAGCAGGTATGGTATTTGACAGACCCACACATTGTTTTTACATTTGCAAACGCAACAAAAGTAACCAATGTTTTAACATCAACTGCTTTCCCAAATTTTCCCAGTACTGGGACAAAACTTCCTATATATCTTCAGATGAAAGAAAGTATTTGTCTGGAAGGGAAAATGATAATTTCTGTCCTGAAGCAAGCTGCTTCCCTGTTATTGCTGTAGCATCCAGAGGCCCTGTGGTGCAATTTGCAAAGCCATTAGGAAACAAAGGGCAACTGAGATAAGAGCTGCCCTCTGAGGTCTTCAAGGATTCCACCTAACTGGAAGAAATAGTGACTTTAGAGTTGTAAGCTTTCCTCAGTTTTCTCTCTCCTGTCACAGAGGCAAAGAATGACAGCTGTCTCTTTCTTTTTGAGGACAGCATCAGTGCAACCCCTTAGCCTGAATTGCTACAGAAAACAAATTGTTCTTTCTTACAGACCTAGTCAGATCTACACCCATTAATTACCTGCAGCCTCATTTTGCTAGCAGGAAGAAGAGAAATCAAACCCAGAGGTAGATGTCACTAAATTAGGCTCTTTCTAGTATTTCAAGTACCTAGATTATTTTTTTCCTGGAAATTATTGCTTCCTCTGCTACCGAGTGGCCACTACACAGAACTTTTCCATATTGTTCCTAATAGATAGTTAGTTTCTGATTTCTGTGGTCTGCAAAATGTTTATGAAAACATAAAAAAGGTCAGTTCTTTGTTATAAAAATACTGCATTAAAGCCTTTTATACTATTGCTGATTACATCCCTAAAATATAAGTAGCAAATGTAGCATGGCTTTGTTCAGTTCTGGGACAAAATGGAATGTAAAAAAAAGGAACACTAACAATTGCTGCTTTGGTAGGTTTTGGTACAAAACACACATCCATTTGTTTTAACAGAAATGTTGAAATTATAGCTAAACCATGAAAAACTATAGATTCTGTCTGTGGTGGCTGATGGTAGCACACTGGTTAGCGTACCTACTTTTCCAATATACCAGATAAAAGATTTTAGACCTCCGCCCTCATCAATAGCTATTTATTTCTTAGAATATTTATCTATTTTTCCTATCTGTCGTAAAATAATTCTTTACGTCGTAGACTTTTTAAAGGAAGAAGTATTTCTTACTGTACATGTTTGAGAGCTCCCAGAAGTGGAGGCAGCCTAATATTAGCAATGAGATGACAAATTCTACAGTATTTCAAACTGGCTGAACTGATTTCTTTGTTTTATTAGGTTTTAACTTGTTCTTAATAATTTTTATTGAACAAGGATGGGAAGCCTGGAAAAAGTATGTTGGCTTACACAAATATTCTTTGTATTCTGAAGCAGCATTTCGGGTATCGGATCAAATTAATTTTATATTTTCTCTTTGAATTACTAGAAGCTATTTGGATTCTGTGTTCTTATAGGGACAAAGTATCCTTTCAGCTACTTTATGCACTAAGCTATAAAAATAGTAAACAAAGCAGTGCCACTGCCTCAAGTTTACCAGAACTTTTTGTTCAAAATCTTCTCTACAAAAATCCTTACATTATTCACTTTGTGTTCTTTTTCTTTGTGTAAACATTGAAGGTATTAATGTTAAGATGATGGGTTTGTTTTGGAAGGCTTTAGATTTGGCAGCCCTTGCCACTGAGCACGCACAATTCAAGGACTGGTGGTGGAAAGTCCAAATTGGGAAGTGCTACTATAGGTAAGCCGTTGTTCATTTCTTCTGTGATCAGTGAGTATGAGTGGAGGACCTGAACTGCTGGGTGTATTGTGCAATGCTGGACACTGAGAAATATTTCAGGAAGTATTTGGTTGGAGAGCACAGTGCTTACAGTTAAATCTCCTTTAATATACAAGGAGATTATGTTCAACTGCTTGAGGTAAAGACATCGACATTGAGTACCTTTATGTAAGTGAATTAGCTGCATCTTCACCTAATGTGCTTCAAAGTCATTGTTTGAAAAGTCAGTAAATAAATGACAAGAAATATTGTTAAAACAGACCACACAAAATGAATATTACAATATTAGCTTGAGAAATTAACTGTCAATATGGGCTTCAGATTGATAAAATAATAAGAAATGAAGTATTCATGTTAGACGCTTTCTGCCAGAGGTACATTGCCCAAGAAGTACCAGTTCCAAAGATGCCAAGCCCTCGGGGCTGGCACGCCGTGCCTGAGCATCTGATACAAATGACTTAGGAGTACCCCGATGCTGTGTAGCGATGTGCCTCTCGGGCTTGCAAGCAGTTAAAAGTGGTTGCTGAGGATCCACCTATGATTGTAACAGCCAGTTCTACCAAATCAGGTGAAACTCCTCCTAATACAACCCTGCTTCCTGTAATTCAAACAAGTACTGAGGCAGCTCCCCCTTTCATTCTTTACAATGTGTGTGTCCCATGAATGTAAAACATGGATAAGGTATTGGTTGTTAAAAAACTGAAGCATCATCTGCAGTCCTTACAATTCTATAAGCAATTCTTGTATGAACAGGCTGATAATACAAAGCAGTTAGCCCTTTAAAATTTCATGTTGTATCTTGGCTTGAAACTATTGCTTCTTTTTAGATGCCCAAACTAATGAAATCCTTCACTATTCTTAACCTTTACTTGACATTCTTTAGTAGATTAGGCTGATTTTTTTTTTTTTTTGAGCTTAGAGGTCATTCATCACTTTCAGGATTTTTATGAATAGTGTCACAGAAACTAAAGCATCCAAGCAGGCACGTGTACTTCCAGGTTCCAAAATTATTTTATGTCCCCATTGACTGTGTTACTTTGTTTTGGCTGGCTTGTTCTGCCTGTGTTTTGTGTTTCTTCACAAAGTATATGTGGTCTTTGGCTGAAGAAAAGGCAATTTGCCTATGAGAAAGTGTACATTTTTGCTGTTGTTGAAATGGTACGATCCTCTTCATTTTGTAGTCTATATAGAATTTATAGATTACTGCAAAATATTCTACAGGAATACTGCAAAACAAATGCTTTTGAGATGAAACAGACTTCTGTGAGGTTCACATGCCGTATACTGCTCCCTCCCAAGTGATCCGCTTGGATGGTCTTAAGCTGTGGTGCCGTTTACAATACAGCATGTTTTCAACACACAGTTAAAGATTTTTAATATCAGCAACAGAGGTTTTGCCATTTCCCATACAAGGCTAGGAGAAAGTTTTTTATTAATGGCTAAGCTTTCCCTAAATTTTACATGGAAAGTATCTACATGATCTTTGCCATGAGTGAAGAAATTCTGCTCCAGAACTATGTGGGTAGGGGTTGAGGCATGATTTCTTTGAGGCATGCTCATTTTCTACTGTCCAGTCTGTGCAAAGAGCAGGAGGGAATCCCATGAAAACAAGTACATCATTATTCAGTTAACACCAGAAGGCTGCATTTACTAAAGGGGACCAAATTTTATGAAATTGCCTTTTTCGTGTTTTGAATGGTTGTCTTTGTAACCTTCATGTATTTAACAGCATAGTTTTTGTTAACACGCACACAAATGACCTTAAAGTATGCTTTTGGGCAGTTCATGTTTGGTTTAGTGGGCATTGCTTTGTTATTTAATAAGCTTTTCTTTTTTAAAAAAAACCAAACAAACAACAGACCACAAATACTTTCTATATCTATCTGTTGTCTCTTTAGGTTAGGATTATATCGTGAAGCCGAAAAACAATTTAAGTCAGCTCTCAAGCAACAGGACATGGTTGATACAATCTTGTATTTGGCAAAAGTAAGTCATAGGTTTGCTTGTTTTAAGAATTAAGTGAAATTCCAGACTATCCCTCGGAAGTCCATATACCAGAAGAGTTGAGTATTGAGTTTGATACACCATTAAGTTTAATAGTGCATAATCTCCATATAGACCTGAGGCAATACACACTAACAGTTGAAATTGAAGTCTGTAGTTTACAAAAAGATTTTGGAGCTTCGAGATTTCACAAAAAAATCCTAAAACAATACAAAAAAACCCAAACCCCAAAACTCCTACCTTCTATGTCACTGTATTCTTTGCTCTAAACTCCAGTGAGGATTATATAGCTAAAGAATTATTGGAGTTCCAGTGTGAGGAACAATGTAGCTATACATGGTCTCCTAGGAAACTAATGCAGTAAATCAGTAAGTGAAGAGAGAATCTCAAAATCCTAGTTTCACAAGCAAAATCAAAATAGAGTGAGCTTAAAGGAAGCGATCGGAGACCTTGAAACAGAGAATGTTCTGTCAAAATAAAGGCATTAAAAGCTTTAAAAGAACAAGTGGCACAACTAAGCCTCAGAATTACTTGTTTACCAGAGTACACATCAGATTCTAAACACTTCCCAAGGCATTCAAGAAAAGGTGGCCTGTGAGAAACTAAAACTGCATTTTTCTTCCTCTTGTCCTAGAAGGAGATGCAATCAGTTGCTCGTTATCAGCTCCCTTGAAGCCAGCTGTCACAGGCATATCCAAAAGTCATCACTACTAGTAGATAATTCAGATATTCATACTATGGTCCTTGCTTTACCTTTACGTTTATTGAGCAATTATGTTTTGTATTTAAGTGATCATCATTGCTCTCTGGAGACTTGTCTTCAATACAGCAGCTGGAGTTAGCTTACTCAATTGAGCTTAGTAATTTTAGATTTCTGTCACTACCAGGAGTCATTCTGCAAAACACATGAGCTACACAAAGTGATTAAATTGGCAGAGTAATTGGATTAACAAACAGTGATTCGTTATGGGAGATATGTATCCCCCCCCCACGTTATTACTAGCACAAGTAGGAGTTGCATTTCAACTTCCACCTCCCACTCCATAGACCAGATCGCTCAAGTATAAAGCATCGCACAACATGATTAGTGACTGTGGGTGGACCGGCAATAGAGTAGGGCACTGAGATATAGCTCAATCTGGCCGTACTGGAAAGATAAGGCTTGAGTCAAGCAACCATTAAAGAAAAACAGGATTGCATCAAGTTCTGTGCAAACAGACCGATACTACAGTACCAATTAGTTTTCTGTTTATATTTATATGGGGTTTTTTAAATATTTGCCATAAAGATAACCCTCCCTTGCAGTGTAATTTATGAAAAGATAAAAGACCAAAAGAAAACTAAAAAAAATAAGGAGTCTTTAAAGAATGCTGAGAAGTTACTGGGTATTTCATGACCCAGAAGAGCTGGAAATGGGATATTTTTACCAGAGATAAGAGAGACTCCAAAAAGAAAATGGAGCTATTCTGTGTTTAGCATCTAAAACTTAATGACTATAGCTGTCGTAGTCTATAAGAGCAGGTCTCCCCAGAGCAGCTGCAAGTGGGTGGAAGTTGTTCCACCTATCTTTCAATTTCTTTTGCCGCTCATCTGGACAGCAGCTCTACAGTTTGCAGAGATGTTGGACAGTGTGATATGCCACTGGATATGGGAATTATGCAGTAGAGTACAGTCGCTGTGTTGCCTTAGTATAATATTTGCAGAGAGGATGTGTAGCAATTCCATCTTTGGAGTGTACCTCCAGATGAAGCAGTAGATCAGACTTGAGTCATAATGCTCAGAAAACATACTTCATAAACAAACATAAAAGATAAAAAAGGAGCAGTTCTAGTGGAGTTCCCTGTCCACCATTTTTTTCATTTTCTTCCCTAAGAATATGAAGATAGCCATGCTTCATAGCTAGATCAAGTCAAAAAACAAGCAAACAAATCAAAAAACCAGCTAATTAAAATTTTATCTCAGTTCAACCAAAGAAAATTAGGTATGACAGCATGCACTGGCTTACTACACGTATTTAGGATAAATTGTCCAAGTCACTCACATAGGTGATACTTAGGAGTAAAACAACCAGCCAAGGTTCTTTTTAATTCAGAAGTTATCGTGGTTTGGGCTATACCCAGCTGTCATGTATTCTCTTTCATCTGGGTACTTTCCGCTGAAACTCTTTGCAGAGTAATTTAGTTGTAGAAAACACTTACTAGAAGAAAATAAGGAGCATGACAGTCACAATGGACACGATCATTTAAAGTTTAAAATTTAATGAATATGTAAAATTCATCAGCAAGTACTGCATGGTTTGTAAAAGGAAAAATATAGCAAATTACTTGAGGGCTGTTTTAGATACAGCAACATGCCCAGATAGAGTGCATTAGGAATAAAGCATATTCATTAAGCAATTAAAGCATATTCATTGATGGTGTCATGAGTGCAGTTCTGGTCTACCAAGTAACCTGCCCCCCAAAAAACCAAAACCGCTCACTCCTTTGATGGCTTTTCACAAGAAGGAATTAATTTTCTAGCTTAATACAGGAAACGCAAATGACACAAGCAAAATGACTGGAAAAAATTGACTGTATTTTTTTTTTCTTTTTGCCAGTGATGGACTTGAAATGGTAATTCCATTACTAGGAAGGCACTCACAGTCGACAGCTCTTTGCCAATTAAGAATGTCACTGGAGCGGTCATAGGAAAGAATTCTTTGCAAATGTCTACAGCAGTATATATCTATTTGAATGCAAATAAAGAACTTAGGACTTTAACGAGTATTTTGATTTTTGGCATTCAAAAGCCCATGAAGCTCAAGGGCAGAAGCAGAAAATGTGTTTGGAGGTTTCTCGGGTGTTCAGCTTGTGTTGCTGTTTTTCTTACAGAGCATCACAAAATGTTTGTGTCAGGATACCAGTCACAATTCTTTCCCTGTTTTAGTCATATCACGTATTAGCACTATTTAAGGTAATATTTCTCCAATGGGAGCACTCAAAACACTTTTCCACTCGATGGGAGACAGATTAATCGCTCTAGCCATCTAGTTTCCCAAAGTAGGTGAGTGGGTTTTTTGCCTTTGCTGTAGTTGTATTTACCATACCCCACAACGGTTGTACTCTGACAGCTGCAGAGGTGGTCTCTATCAACATGTGGATGTCCTCTATCCAGTTTTCACACAATGTCATAATCAACACAGGAGCCAAAATCACTGGGACCAAACTGCCCTCTTTCTGTTATGGGATTTTATTGTTTGTGACAGGGGAGGTTGGCAGAGCAGTAAGGAAATTGGAAAATGTCACTGCTCTGTGTAGTGCAGTCTTATTTGACTAAGTAAAATATTTTGGTATTCCAGCACTATCAACCAGAAGATCCAGTTCTTTTAAGCCTAAACATAAGTTTAAAAAAAAAAGTATTAAACAGGAAAATATTCAAGGTGATACCTTCACCTCAGTGTCAAAGTGTATTATTTTCATATGATAATAAATAACAATACTTTTTTTTGTTTATTAGTAATGTCCAGATGAATTAATAATGTCTAGATGATATGCATGCAAATTTAATTATCTTAATTAGCCTCTTTTATCTTCATTACAGAGATTTATTCAGTATTCACTCTACTATTTCCCCAGTATTATTCACCATATCAGCTAATGGTTTACTGCATAAAGGGAGGTGTCATCCCTTTGATGTATCTCCCTCTCAAACAGCAGTGCAAGTATAAAAGTCAGACATTTGACATTTATAAACACTTTTTATTTGCTTAGGTGTATTTGCGCTTGGATCAGCCTGTAACGGCTTTGAACCTTTTCAAGCAAGGGTTAGATCGATTTCCTGGAGAAGTGAGTCTTATTTGTGGAATTGCCAGAATCTATGAGGTATGGACCCTCTATGCAATTATTACTGTGGCCAAGGTTAGCTGCCTGAGCAAGATGAAAGAGCCAATAGTTGAATATAACTGTAAGGTCATAAAAAATTAACTATGCTGTTTTTCAGTATCACTGATGCAAAACAGGTAACATTACAGAAAGACGCAAAAGTAATGTCAGGGGAGCCTTACAAGCTTATTTGTTTATATGGTTAATCATACTAGTGAGATCCCATACACCCTTGAAGCAAGTCCACGTGAAGTCAAGTGGTCCAGATGCTGTCCACGTTGCTAGGTCTAGTTTATATACGTTTCATCGTATTAAAACTGCTCAAGTCATTGACAGCCTGCTAGCAGGATTAAACAGCAAAAGTGTTGTCAGTGTTGTCTTTATTAGCACTAGGTGTTGCTGTTAGTTTCTTAAGACAGTGAGAACAGTTGGAATACGAATGTTTCTTAGTTTAGGAAGTAGATGTTATTTTAAGTAGGATTAGTTTTAAAGTAGTTTCATTTTAGCTTGGTAACCATGTATTTTGTATTTTAAAAGTGTGTATTTTCATGTCAAACAGTGGACTTTATATTGTTTTTCACTGAAAGTTGGTAATGATGCTAATCCAAATGTTTTTTAAAAAGTCATGAATTTGGTTTTTTTGGTCTACATTCATACTTGGCATTCTTTCCTGTTCTCATCATTCTCATCTAACCCCTAAGCATTAATCCATTTTCATATTAAATCCTTTTTGTCCTTCAGCAAGGAAGAAAACAGCTGCATAATTTTTGGAGGCTTTTGTTTCTGAATTGTTAAACAGTTTTTAATATGGATATTATTTTGCAGAACCATACATAGCATTGCATAACCCTTTAAGGAATTATTAAAGAGCAGCATATAGTTGACAGAGTCTAGTTTTGCACTGATACCTAAGTGCAGGATTATAGCTTCATTAGCAAAGATTTGTACTGCAGCATAGTGCTGCTCTTGTTACATACACTCACAAGTGGAATATATGCATCAGGCATCCTAATCAGAGTTTTTCTTCTCTGTCACTACCATACGCTACAGTAGGAAAAGTTGTAGACCTTTTTTTGGTTTTAAAAAACCCATTATTTTTAAAGAGACTGCTTTAGTACTGTTTCCTTTAATCACAGGAAATACGTTTTTTCATAGCTAAATACACTGCTGAGGTTAAATAAAAGTTTATTCTTTAGTCATGTTGAGAGTACAGTGTACCTACAGCACACAGGTAGAAATTACTCCTCTCTGAACACAGAAGTGTGTTTTGATCTTTTAATTTCTTTTCTTCTGATATGGGGTAGAGTCCTCTGGTGACTTGCACACCTCAGAAACAGTGTGATGTTGTTTACAGCAATGAGTTCACCCTAATTCATCTTCCAAGTAGCATACATCCAAGCATACATTTTTATACAACATAGTTCTCTTAACTGGCATATTCTAGCTAGTACAAGTTTTGGTAATAAATTTGTGATTCCTGTTTTCAAAGGCATGTAATAATTCTTCATATGCAATTATATTTTCATTTGCGTTCAGAGCAATTCATGAGTTGACTTACAAAGCATTGTAAATAATTGAGGCATTGACTGGGGAAATAAGTCTACTGTATGTTACCATATTGGGAAACCAACTGCACAGTACTGTGTATCACAAGGCATCGTGCAAAAAGTAGCAAATGCATATGCTAAGCTTCTGACCAGTCTGTTTTTCTGAAAAATAGCAAATTATTCTCTTTTTGTAGCTGTGGCATAGAGTTAATGACAGGTACAGCTAGCACTGTTAAATTAATATGCATTCTTCTCGTGAGTGTGTGTGATGCTTGTGAAGATGCCAATTGGTGATGTTGCATTGTATGATCAGAGAACTGTAAAAGCATACATAATTAATCTTGATTAAGTACTGTACAGGGCATAGATAAAGTACTCAGCAGACTGACATTTTAATAAGTTTTATGATAAAAATCAGTGATAAAAAGTAGAATTAATCTGATTTTTTTCCAATTGTATAGGAAATGAACAATATCTCCTCAGCTGCAGAGTACTATAAAGACGTCTTAAAACAAGACAACACTCATGTGGAAGCCATTGCATGCATTGGCAGTAACCATTTTTATTCAGACCAGCCCGAGATAGCTCTGCGGTTTTATAGGTATCTACACTTGTGGGGAGGGAGGGGGAACTGAATGCATGGGAGGATAATACAAAGGGTTGATTTTTGTAGTGCTGATAGCAAAAAAAGAACATTAGGAGATTGGCATGGGAGGATGATTGAGCATTGGGACAAATATCAGCATAAAATCAGCGTACCAACTTACTTATCTTCTCGGCCAGTGATAATTATATCTTTCTTTTAAAACTTTGTCATCATTACATGTGGAGTATGTAGAAGTGTCAAAAAAGATTATCAAAACAGTTATTATTTGATTAATAAGCAAGAAATTATCTTTCACAGCATGAGGCAGTTTGAGTACACTGGATCTTACTCTCAGCTTCAGTTGCATTCAAAGGGCACATGGACTTCCTATTTAGCCCTTTGAAAAAGAGTAGTCTTTGAAAAACTCCCAACTGAAGTCACGAGCAATTGTGACCACAAAATACCTTACTTGAACGTGGGCTGGGCTTCCCCCATGTCTCACTCAAAGCAATAAAAAGATAGTGTTAAATGATGCTGCTTGCTTTTTATTTTAATACAGTCAGAGTGCAAAGGAGCCTGACTCATTTTCTTAAGTCTAAGAGCAGATTAAGTCAGTATAAGCACTACCATCTCATTTCTGTTGGACCCAGGGTATTGTATGCTTTAGGTTCAGAAACTCACAGTTGTGCCGCAGGCAGCAGCCCTCTTTGTTCCTGGCCCTCTTAGAATATGTTTTTCCTATAAATATTAATCAACAGAATTTTTATAAAACACCTCCGATCTAAAAGACACATTAAACAACATCAATTTGAATCAAAATCTGAGTTATGCTTCAAATGTAAGATTAATGTAGATTCACATACTAGATGTACTAGTACTGATTAGAGCAGTGCTGAAGGATAGGAATCAAGCAAAATGAAATCTGAAGAGTTATAAAAAGGAACTGCAACAAATTACAGCTTGATTGAGGTTGAAGGATTGGAAAGAGGAAATAGCGAAAGTCTGTGTGCAGCTCTGTATTACAGGAAAATCAGATCATGTGGCACAGTCAAAAAGACAAAAGTTATCTAATTTACACAAAGACTATTTTGCCCAGCTTTGATTCTACTAAGCAAAAACGCCGTGCACTGCACTCAATGAAACCTTTGCCAAGTGTAAGACTGTAACACTCGGTTATTACACCTCTCAGAACAGAGAGAAAGGAGGAGAGAACTTTGTCATTTAGAGTAAAACTCTTATTTGAAATTAATCTAAAAAAATAAATAAATATTTTCTTTCAATCTAGACGGCTTCTGCAGATGGGTGTTTATAACTGCCAACTTTTTAACAATCTGGGCCTCTGTTGCTTCTATGCCCAGCAATACGATATGACACTCTCTTCATTTGAACGTGCACTGTTTTTGGCTGAAAATGAGGAGGAGACAGCAGATGTGTGGTACAACCTGGGACACGTGGCTGTGGTATGAAAAATATTAACAACCTTTCTGAATAAATATAATTTTACAAAACCTGGAAAAAGAATAAGTAGGAAGGAGTCATTGTCCTACTTTGAAATATGAAACCCAATAGCATACGGGATAAAGTGCAGTACAGATTAAAGGTTTACTTGCACGTCAGTAGGGAGGAAGAGGCAAAAGAAAGAAGTTCTGTACATCTTCACAGAATGTGGCTTAGTCATGGTAAAAGATGCTCCCTTTCCGCTGTATTTAACCTTCCCTTCTTTCTAAAAAAAATTGCGACAGGTACCAGCCCTTGAAGGCTTTTGCTGCAATACAAACTAATTTGACAAAAAACCTGAATTCAAGATATTTTTCTCTGAGCTATTATTTGTGTTACATGAAGCATTAGACCGATTCTGTTGTCATAAATAGTATTCAGCAGCATGTAGCAGACACTAACGCACTATGTATGTCATAGTTGAGAAGACATGTTCTTCTGTCTTATAGACAGCTATAGAAATATTGTGCAATTGTGTGATAAAATTTGTTAAATTTCTATACTAATTTGCATTCATTGCCCATTTTTGAAGATGTTCTTCCAGAAATTGTGTTAAATATCTGTTTAGCTGCATGGTCAGAATAAGGTTACTGAATAAAGTTTTTGATAGCTTTGTAATATGAGTTGTCTGCAAATGCAGATTATGATTTAAGTCAGAGAGAAACTCAACTGTTCATCTTGATTGTATTGCAACTAGGATAAACCCATGTAATTTATACTGCCTAAAACATTGACATTTGAACTGATATGCCTATGTTTTTCAGCATTTGTCACTTTTAATGTTTAACCTGATGCTGTATCAGTATTGGTCATAACACTAGGGCATTAAAGAGTAGTCAGCTGCTCCATTCAAAGAAGTTAAACTTCCTTAATTTTTATCTTCTAAAAAGTAGGCTTATATATGATTTTTTTTTTTTAATCTGTGCAGGGGCAGAGAAGCAAGATTACTTCCCCTCTGGAGACATCTCTTGTTTTTCTTACCATGCTATAGACAGTAGCAGATAGAGTAGTCTTTAAATGATACTTTAGACATCTAAAAGTTGAATTAGATGAAGTGAATATCACTTGGAGCATGGAAGTTTGTGCTGGAAAGAAACTATTGTGTCTGGAGGAAGACTATGAAGCAAATGAGAGGGTTTGGGAAGAAAGCACATATGGTTCTGATCAGCGTGTGTTTATTGTAATTTGTATTCCATGGTAGTACATATGGGTGAAAAGATACTCCAGACAACAAAACAGATGCATGTTGTTTCCAATCTTTTCACAAATTAAAATACAATCTTACTTTTAGGGGATCGGAGATCTTAATCTGGCTTACCAGTGTTTCAAGCTAACATTAGTCAACAATAACGACTATGCGGAAGCTTACAACAACTTGGCTGTGCTGGAAATGCGAAAAGGTCACATTGAACAGGTTGGTGTTGAATCTCAGCCTAAGCAGAATGCTTCCTTTGGCCCTTTTGTACGTTTGAAATTTCTAATTTCCCTGAGGTGGAGGCATCATATGAACATATAGCCTACTATTACAGGCAGAAAACATGGATAACTTTTATGCATGTTTTAGTGTAACCTCGACGTTGTCATGCCACCTCCCATTAAGCTGCTCATTCTTAGGCATATCCAAATGGTTCATCAAAGACAAACAAAGTTTACAGTGGCTTTGCAGTTGTTGAGATTTTTTTTTTCCAAATTGATACCGAAACCAAAACCCATCAGTCTGTAATCGTCACTTAAATTACAACTTTGACTGTATATTCAGTTTATAAATGTAGATAATACACTTTTCTTGGGTGGCAGAAGAAAGCAATCAGATCAGCTCTTAGAAGATTTTTTCCAATGAGGAGATTGCTTTAGAGTTTTGTCCCAAGGCAGCAGGTTCTTGATAAATCCTTTTGCATCAGTAAGCTTGGTGGTTCGTTTTACCTGATGTGAGTATACTAAGTTGTATTGCACTTAGATGTATAATTGACATGCACAGTGGATTAAATGCATTCATTTTTATACACATGCAGGGAAAATTAATATGTGTTTGTTGGACAGTTTGAACTATTGTGGGCTTGTTTTAATCCTTATGGGAGCAAGCCTATTTTGATGGGTTCATATATACATCAGAAAAGTACAATACAATATAAAGGCTTGTAAATACCTTTTTTAAAGAGCAAATTCTCTTATATTTTAAGAGCAAATAAAGTTAACTTTATTCAGATAACCTAGCAATTACCATGGAAACACTGAAATGACACCAACACTGGATGTTTCCAGTGACAAATAAAGTTTGGGTTTAGTTTCAGTTTCATAATCAGTAAATTTACAGACATTTAATTCCCAGGTGGAACTTCTGTCCAGTTGTGGATGTTGCAATTGCTAATAATTAGCACTGCAGAGCCTTTCTATTATAATCACTTGTTTCCTGTCTATTTTAGCTTTCAGCTTAAAATTTTCTGTTTTGTCCTGTATCACAAGTATAGTTAACACCAGGATCATCATGGCAATAAATTCATGCACAGAAGAATAAAAAATGCGGAGATACTTTGCTTATCTTGGTTTTTATTTCATTTCGCAATAGTCTTTCATAAGTACTGTTGCATGTACCCAGATTTGTCAGAACTAGGGAATTTTAATAAGTTCTTAACTCTGCCTTCCCAAACAGTTTACAGATACTTTTGTTTATAAAAGATCAGGGGTTTTCCCCCGAAGTTCTCAATTTTTTAGTAAAAGCATTCACAAGTTAATTTTCTATTGGATTTACAGCATTTACATGCACACCGATACTTAATTTTTCATTAGTTTTTAATGCTACCATTTTGCTAGTCAGAAAAAAGTGAATTTTATTAAAATTTTTGAGTGTGAAAACATTTTTATGATAAATATTTTTATGATAAAATATAGGTTTTCAGGGATGCTTGAGAGTGTTGTCAGAGACAACAGATAAATACAGTGGGGTGTGACTTTAAATACTTTTTTAAATTAATATATTCTGTTCAGTGTTTAGAACTGAATTGCTTAATTGAATAAATCCCAACGTTTTTTCTGACTCAACCAAGAGTCATATTCATTTCAATGCTATTAAACTGTATTATGCCTGAATGTTCTATTGGTGTAACTCATACGTAGCTGAATGTGGCTTTCTCAGTAAAGGCCTAGTAAAGAAAACACAGCGTGGTTTCTTTTAAAAATTATGAAAATTGTATTAGATTCTTGTTACCCTCCCTCCCTCACAGATTTTGCTTTTTTTTTTTTTCTTTCTCTATGTAGGCAAGAGCTTTGCTGCAAACTGCTTCATCTTTAGCACCTCATATGTATGAGCCCCATTTCAATTTTGCAATACTCTCAGAGAAGGTAATGCGCTATCCTATTCTTGTAATTTAAAACTTGAACCTTGGTGCAGTGGTTGGGTTTTTATTGTTATTACTGAAAATTCAAAATAGGTAAGATAAAAGAATACAGAGTGCATAAACTCAAGGAAAACTGAAGTTCGATTTCCATTTTAATACCCAGAAGCTTTGTGTGTAAAAGCAGTATTCAAATGTTTGCTTTTGAGAATAAGTGAGGCCAACTAGCTATAAAATAATTTTGTAATTTTCCAAATCCCAGAAGATGAAAAATCCGTTAACAATTCCATCTACAGCCTGTACAGTCATTGACTTTTTCAGAATGTGAAGTGAAATAGTATCATACGCTTTCTCAGTAATTATAGAAAGAATATAATTTATTCATCCCGTGATCTTAGTGATCTCAAAAGACGAGTCTGTTCTTTAGCTTTACAACCTTTCAATTTTGTGTGTTAATAATTTCTTTCATTCAGAGCATCTCAGACACTGAACTAATAGTGTCCAACATTCCTGTTAATAAGGAGAAACTTGTACAAGTCCTTATATTTTTCACAAGGAAAAATTACTCCTTTGCTTGTGCCTACACCTTCAAGATTCTGTTATGAGTCTGTGTTGTGTGGGCAGCCCAACTCCTACAGATACCAAAGAACATTGCGTCAAGGAGAGAACAACCCATTAATTTGTAAGCATATCCTCTCCGTTGTGAAACATGAGATGGTTTTGAATAATTGCATTCTGTACTTACCGATTAAGGAGTAAATCCTGGTCTGCAAATGCCTTCTTATGTAGCTTTTGCACAGAGAACCTGCATAGGTTGAGGTTGTGGGAGAAGACAGATGGCCAGATCAGCTAGCTGTTGATGCAGCATGGTAATGCAATCCTTAGATTCCGTGTGAGGCCACGGTTTACAAAACATAACTTCTCTAGCCAGGACCCTGGTTTCTTCCCCTTCAGAGAATTCTTGCTGCACTGAAGCTCTGTGTTGACTGATGCACAGGCAGCAGAGGCCTCCTACTGACGCTTTCCATAGCTTCTTCCTTTTCCACCCAGGAGCTATCACTTTTGCTAGATGTGTTCCCGAACGTTTGGGTTCCTTTTTGCTGAACCCACTTTCTGAGATGCTCTCCTTATGTACACTTCCTCCTTTCAAAAAATGAGGGCTATTTAGGAAAAAATAAAGTTTCCTAGGTGGGGAACAACGTGGAAACATACTTCTAAAAGCAGCGGAGGAGCAACATCAGTTGTCCAACACTTCTGTGTCTCTCTGTGAGGAAGGAGGAAATCACATGGAGTTGCGGCTTTTAGAGAGGCCTGATTGGTTGTGTTTTGCCTGTATATACAACAGCACCTTTATGGAGTTCTAAAGCAAATAATCCATTTTTTATTCCTCCTTACTTCAAGCGCTGGGCATGGTGTACTTTGTTGTCCATTCTCCAAGAAGTCAGGTGGAACGGGATATAAAGTTGCTGTCATGAAGCATCCCTCCCATTAAAATCACATCTCTGTCTCTTTCTTCTCATCCCTTGATGTAAGTGGGACATAACCCTGAGTTCAAAAGCCTCCGTACTGACTCTGGTTTATTTTTTCACTCTCAGTATCAGCTGTGTTTAAACACTTGTGAGCATCAGAAATGTACTGCACAGCATACACAATGCGAATACTGCAGTGCTTGGATTTGCACAATTAGCTTGTGTGTTTCTTACAGGTTGGAGATCTTCAGAGAAGTTACACAGCTGCTCAGAAGTCAGAGGAAGCGTTTCCAGGCCATGTTGATACACAACAGCTCATCAAACAGTTAAAACAGCACTTTGCTATGCTCTGATGAGCATATTTTTTATTATGTAAAAACAGTTAGCCAGGGCGAACGTCCCATACATCGTGTGAAAATACTAGCTGAAAGTAAACAAACTATACTTAATGCATTCCTGTGGCAAAGCCTGTGTTACTTTGAGTAGCAGGAAAGATTTAAGAGTCCTAATTAGTTTCTGTCATCTTAAAACATACCACTTATTGAAATGCAGCTAGAATATGTTACAACTACATACGCGAGAGATTATAGGAATGGCAGGATGTTGCCAGTTATGACAGCTTTGAAGTAGTTGTCTGGTATATGAGCAAGTAAGTCTCCATATAATATTAATGAACATTTTAAAGGAATTTTTTTTCTGACTTTTCTGCAGAAAAAAGTGACTTTAAATATTCCTGTGTGACAATCTATCAGGTAACAGAGAAAGAATACTTCCTAACTGGTCTTCAAACTTGGCTTTTGATAGTATAATTTCTTACTGAATGTTAAGTTTTAAAACTAAAATACCTAAAAGAATTTAAAATACATATGCAAAGCAGAAGTTCTTTTATTCTTTGTTGTACTGTATGAATTAAATAAATTCCAGTTTGTATGGTTTGTTTCGTTCATTGATGTAAGTTAAAATTACATCCTTATTGGCATGAAAATTAAGAGTCAGTAATCTTAACGTATTTTGAAAGACTCCACAGAACTGTTACAAAATAGCATAAATACGTGTGTTCCTCTCTACCCAGGAGAGAGTTTATTCTTCGTCTCAGTGAGGGAAAAGGATATTTAGAAGCTTGCAGAGTTAAGTACTAGTAATTGAGCACAAAGCTGTGCTACCACTTGAGCACTGTTGCTAAATAAACATTTGCATCATCCTAACTACACGAGTACTACGAATAGCAACAAACAGAGACTTCTCTCTGTCCTATATCTTTGCATTCTAACTAAAAGGGATAAATTTGCATGATTTCCCATCTTGACCTTTTTAAAAGACCTTTAAGAAATGTAAGCTGTTAAGGCATTCTGAAATGGCAGATCCTGAAACAGGCCTTTAAAGTCTTTTCAAGTTTCTCTGATATATTAAGGGATTGTCTTGGCTTAGGGAGCAACCCTAAACATGCTTATGAATATTATGTCTTCCTTTTTACTATTTGTTACTTCCCCACCCTCATGTTTGTGTGACTATTGTAGCTGGTGAAGGCAGATGCTGGGGACCGTAGAGACGTGTACCCACAGGCTCCCCCACAGAGCGGGCTGTAGATGACAGCTAAAAACTATGTCATTAACTGGTGTAACATCATGCTGAGAAATGCAAAAGCATTATTGGCTGAATGGATGCAGCATCCTTAATGGAAATTTTATTTTTTCCGCATTGATCTTTATATTGTTGGAAATTTCTCACAAACTAATTAAGAGAGAATCTTAGTTATCAGTAATTTTCATTACCTAAATAAGCTTTTACTTTCTGCTAAAAAAGAAAAATTTGTAGGGAAGTTCCATCCTTTGATCTACTGTACTTAAGTCTTTCCAGTTGACAGTGCTAAACATAGGAAGCTACCAGAAAAGAAAATGTTTGTCTTAGCAGTTTAAACACAACTGTTGAGAATTTTTGAATGTCATATTATTAACTCAAAGTATTTTTAAAATTGCATAGTAAATAAGATTCTTTCTGCATGAACTGAAACAAAACTAGTAACACAACTTCAGTTTTTAATCCAGTGTAACAGTTCAGTAGTTCCTCGTAGGTGCTTTTGAGATCCCACTTACTGTGATCTCTGCTCAAGTTGATGATCTGAATAATTCTTGTTTTTAGCAAACAGTACTCCTTAGAACATAGATCTGACATAGTTATTCTTCTAATATTGCAGGATGGGTGGAGATTGAAAGGGAAAAGTCTCATGTATGGTAAGGAATCCTTTACACAAGATGCTTGTGCAAATCAATTATAAAAAAAACCCACACATCCCATACACAAACACATGAAGTTCTGAATAAGGATTAAAACCTTTTTAGCTCCCTAATGTGCAGCATCTGCGAGCCATTCCAAATTTATCTTACATGGTCTGTTTTGATTGCCCCAGAAGGCAGCACCTCTTTGCTTTGTTGACCTTTCATGCCCCAAAGGAAGGGTATGACAGTATTGTTTTCACGACTAGCACACGTACAAATTAAAGCAAATGCGGTAGTGAGAACAGCACCACGATGAAACAACAGATGAATGAGCAGGCTGTTTGTCGTGGAAGAATCTTTCGATTTTGTTGTATGTTAATTCGGTGCGAGCTCCAACGAACAGATGGATCGGCAGGCCCTGGGGCAAACCGCCTTCAGTCAATTGAGGACGACATAGCACAACACAATGCATCAGAATCTGTACTCGTCTCTGTGGCAGGATCATGTTAGGACGGTGCGACCTCAATATTGCAGGCAGCATTTCTGTAACATAGAAATCGTTTCTCTAACCTGTAGCAGAGCTCCAGCTGTGTCCAGCCAGCATTTGTAAAGCCCCTTGGGAGTAGAAAATAAAATCCAACAAAAACCTAACACCAACAGTTTTGTTATCTATGGGGAGGTGGTGTCCACAACAATGCTGCCTGGAAGGAAGCTCAAAGCAGGGTGCTGGGAGGTCTGGAAGTTTATGTCCCTGCAGGAAAGGTCTGTACAGTTTATGGCTGTTACCACCAATTCCAGTCTGAACCCATTAAAAAATGGGTAATGAAGGCTTAGGTTATTAATGGATTGTGATTGGTTTGCAAGATAAATGTGTTATAGCCACAGCACCAGCCACAAAACGGTGGCTGAAATGAATCAGAAGTCACAGTTAAGGGTTGTGGATCATTTTGGGTGGAAAAAGCATCCTCAGAGGTCATTGGGCAGGACAGGAGCAGTTTGCCATTAGGTGCCACTTCAGTCACTGTAAGACTTTGGATAATGATCCCATTTTATTGTTGTTGGTGCTGGTGGTGGTTTTTTTTCTTTGATTGCTTCCTATCTTCGTAAGCTAGAGGAGAGATTTTTGGGTTGTTCAGTCCGATCCCTGAAGGGGCTTTGAGCAACCTGGTCTACTGGGAGGTGTCCCTGCCCATGGCATGGGGGTTGGAACCTGATGATCTTCAAGGTCCCTTACAACCTAAACCATTCTATGATTCTGTGATTCTATGAAACAGCAAGAAGCAGTTGCTGTGAAAACTTACTGACAGGTATCAGCTGTGCCCCTTCAGCAAGGGCAGACCCAGGCAGTCTGAAATGCAGATCAAAAACCAGCTCGGGATAAGTGCAGGGGACAAGCAGCCGCCTACAAGCAAACTGAAAAAGTGGAAGAAAAGGCTTTGTGAGATCCCACCCTGTTCCTCCCCTACTCCAGAGGAAGTTTCAGAATTGCCATTGTAACATGTTTCCAGATGAGAAATATTTTCTGTTGCACGCAGCAATGTAAAACGTGGGGCACGAAGCCACTCTGGTGTCAGACTCAAAGAAAGGGTGAGCACGCATCAGAGGGCCAGGACAAGAGGCAGCTCGCACAATTTTGTCTACTTGTTGGAATTTATTTAAGATCCAGGGTCTGCTGCAAACTTCCAGTTCCCAGCAGATGCCTTTGTGTCATTATGCACCGCCAAGCTCTGCATGCCACAGAGTTGCATTTCACTGATACCCCAGCCATCACCGGGAACGAGTGAGCAGATTGTGGGTGTAGAAGGCAAAATTTCTCTAGAAATAAAAAACAAACTAAGTTTCTCTTTGTGCCTTAGCAGATGAATGAAGTAAAAGCCAAGAAACCCTGATATTCAAGTCATAGAGAAACTTGTGTCTCCAGTCACTCCCCCATAGCATTTGAATTCCTGTGCTGGTAAGACAGTCCTGTTACTAATTTCCCCAGTCGTATTTTCAGCGTTTAGGAGTGCTCAGGAGCTGCAAATGCTCAGAAGTGTCTGTAAGCAGGTTAATTCTGGGAGATATGTCATGAGAGGAAAGCAGTTTTTATTGCAAAACTATCAAGTAAACACACCCTGAATTACGCTGAATAACTGAATGATCTGTCCGAGTACTGTATATACCTTCTTTCTGTGGGTTAGTTACAGCAATTGCCCAGTGCACAGCCTTCTCCCTTCTTATGTTTAGTTTACAAAAAGGTCATAAAGGTTTAGCTGAAAAAGACTTCCTAGTTAGATACTAGATCTGTATAGAATATGTAAAAAAAAAAAAAAACAACAAAAAAAAGATCAAATCAATGAGTTTATAGTAAAAAGCTCTCTTCCCAACACAAAATTCATTATGTTTAATTGTCTATGTGAATGTATCAGCACATACAATTGTGGGGTTTTCCCACATTTCCTGTTTGCGTTTCGGGAGGTGTTGCCAGTGACATCGATTATATTGCTTCAAAGATAAGTCTTGAAGCCACTGGAAATGAGATGCAAAAAGAAACAGCAGGATGCAAACCTTGCTCAGCACTATGGAAAGGGCAAACTCATTAAGAGCCAGGAAACTTGGTTCCAGCAAGTAAACCACCCCAGCAGTTTCATCTCACTTTCAGCTTACTCAGTTTACATAGCCATAAAGTAATCACCATGATTTTACACTTAAGCTTCGGTATTATTTTATGCTACTATCAGTTCAATATTTTGCCAAGTCTGTATCCTCTAATAATGCCAATCAGCTTTAAAGCTATTACACATGTTAACTAATTAATCCTTACATACAATAAATTTACATCATCCTAACCAAGGGTCATAAAACCTTCGATCAAGACACTCTGGGCTATTTGTATATGAGATACCGCACAAAAGCTATTTTAGGATCATAACCCTAGACTATTTTTATTCCTGTGAATTACCATAAGCCAACAGTTCAGATAAAACCACAATCTTCTAAAATAGATGGTCATTGATTTTTTTTTTTTATTTGTAGAAGAAAAACAGATGCATGTAGCTGTCCTAACTTTTGAGGATGTAATTTTTGGTTCTTCCTGAGATAATGGTATGGGAGGCCCAGTAGAAAAAATTTAAAAGCTTCTGACTTCTGCTTGCAATCCTGCAATGTCTGAGGGATAGGCTTAAAATGCTGTGTCAGTACCAAGCATTTATTTATTACGGTATTAAATGG